AATGGCCTCAAGGTTAGGCCGCTCAGCCTATCGCATCAAGGTCATAATCTAGACTAGACAGATCAAGTCATCACAAAGTATCAACGGGGTAAAACTGATTCAAGGTCATAACAAGAACCATAAGTTTACTGACCTGTTTTGGAAGACATTTTATAGATTGTGAGAAGGGAGTTCCTGTGAGACTTTTTGTTCAAGTAATTTCGTCATTGTTTCTTTTCCATACGGCGCAGCCATCCTGCACTGAAAGACTACACTTTCTCTCCTATCAGAGTCTGAATTTTAAAGCAGTAAAATAACCAATGCTCGTTTCCAAGGTTTTGACATTTCCTATTTACATATGAGAATTAGAGAGTGAAACAGTAAATAAATCCCCAAAGTCAGTAGCTCCACGAGTCTTCGATATTTAGTGCTGATCGCATTAGTTTTAATGGGTTCACTTAACTGAAGACCCTCGGTCATGCATCCGAACCAGATTGCGAGTGGGTACGCCTTACTACACATCACCTTCAACTATTCGTCAACTCACACCGAACGTTTCTCGACATACCGATAGCCTCTAAAAATATCATTGAAGTTCTTCATTCCTGACTTCTGATTTGACCGATTTGGCATACTTCGATTATAAAGGCATTACTGGTTAAGGCGCAGTCAATTCTTTGCATTTCGATTTTGTGATTAGCAAGTTATCAAATCTTCAGTGGTCATTAAGGAAGGCTGCTCCCGACTCATTCTTAAATTTTCTAGACCCAAGATTGTTGGTTCACAATCACTGATGAGGAATTCACAATTTAGGATCGAGAGTTTACCGTCTCTAATCAGCAAGTTACAACACCCATGGATAGGACGTTTTTGACCAAGAATACTGAAAGTGAAAAAATTGAGTGGCTTAAATACAGCATCGAGTTTTATTGACTTCAAATTTCCAACAGAAACGACGGACTTGATACTGATAATGTCAACAAAATCATAGAAAGCATCGGTGGACAAATATAATCGTTTTTGAATCTGAAGTTAAATATTGGAAGTTGTAAATAAGAATACTATATGGTTACTAAAATTACACAAATTATTAGGATCCAGATTACAAAGCATAGTATTAATTGTGGTGAGAGGGACAGCAGTTTTACAAACCTTAAAGTATCCCATCTTATCACACTTGAAGTACTTAGCTTAACAAAAGACAAATGAATTACGTAGGTGATATTTAACACAAAATAAACACTTACCAAACCTGTGAACACCGTAACCTGCTTTGAAATTACTCAATTTATTGTTCATGTTCCCACGAGAACGAGGATTATCGTTAATCAAACACCTACCTGGAACTACAGTGCACATGGGATTACGACAACTAAGTAATGTCGTAGCATTCTTGATGTCCTGGAAGTAAATTTCATATACTGCAGTCCTAGCATCTTGAAAGGAACACTTCGGTAGCTGTATAATATCTTTTTAGAAATAATCAATCAAGGAACCTTTAGTTCGTACAAATACCACATTTCGGCAAATATTGTCTAGTGTTTATGTGTTCGTGTCATCACATAGTTATTTTATTTCAGTAGTTCAACCCAATTGTTGACTTTCTCGTCGATGTTAACACAAAATAATACTACTATGTATCCCCTAAGGCTCCAGATGACGTTCCCAGGTTCTTGTGAACATAGGACAAGTCTATCTATTGCGTGGGTTATTAATTAAAATCCATTATTTTATTGAGAACATTGCTTTTCACTATATGAGATTTCAGATTAACTACTGATAATTTTCTGGTCCGCTCTCATTGTTTGACAGACACGAATGTTCAGATATTACAGTTACGCCTGTTAAGACCCCGTTTTTATTATGGAGCATTTAATGTGTGAAAACCAGATTCGACTTAAACAACTGTCCCGAGTAATCTATCGCCTATCAACTGACTATGGCATTCGGTAATTTTATCACACTGTGCACACTTACAGGAAAAAAATGAACAAGTTTATCGCATCATGAAGGCTTTAACTTTGTGTGCTTAGTTTTTACTGGATGATTGGAACTGATTAAATTAAGTTTATTTACAGATAAACACTGGTCAAACATAAAGAAAGCAGTGATAAGTGCATGTTTGGACGTTCGATGTGAGTTACTAAGACGCTAAGTGGATTCTTGTTTCTCATCATTGACTTTGGATACAAATACTAAACGTATATTAATGAAGCGTCTATTTATAGTCTTATTTACTCGCTGATTTATTTAAACTTAGCATTTTCTGTGTCACCAGCAAGTTTAGAATCAAGTATATAACAAAATCGTCAACACACATATAAACCAGAGCTTTTACATACTGGTGATGCAACCCGTGTAAGGAAAAGGAAAGTATAAGATACTATATAAAGAGAAATTAGCACGCTGTCACTTTGCAGTGTTTGCTATCATAAAGATTTTACAGAATCAACACTAAAACTCAACCTGCTACTTGGACGAATTATAACTGATTTTCGAGATATTCAGTTTTTAATAAGTAGGATTTTGAGGAATGATATAAAATCGAGTGAATTTCTGCAGATTTAAAGAGGTAAAGCATACAGTGTAATCAAGAAAGAAACAATAAGGATATTAAACATAAAGCCTTAGTTGAAAAGCCAGACAAAGGAGATGGCGGACTGATAATCATATTATGTGAAATCCTAAGGAAAGATACTTCTCACGAATTAAAACGATGTAACCACAGTTTTCATGATACTTTGCCAATCGGACACAAAAAAGCAACACGATAAATAAATATGGTAGGAACGCTCAATTAGTGAATAATCACAGATCCATATGTTTTAAACAACTTTACTGGAAAAATAAAATGGGAAACTTAGCCGCATGACTGATGTGACATTTTGTTGCTACAACCTCAAGGGTAAAGAACTCCATCACAGTGTGAATTTACACCCTAGTATACATTAGATTAGTTGTCAGAAATAAAAGATTCTTATGCCTAATTGTGATCCAACTTTAAGTAGGTTATATCTAATAATATTCGTAAACATGTTTAATCACGTGCAACCTGAAATAGAGACACTCTAACCTCAATGTAAGACAAGGCAATCAATAAGTCAGTTGGAAAGCAAAAGATAATTTCCAAAAATCAACATAAAATTGATTATGGTATTAGATGAGCTGTCATAAATCAATATATAATCACTATCGAGTTTACTTATTTTCGTCAAGTGGTTTGCAGGGTTTCGAGTACAAATATGGGGAAAAATATCGTAAATGTTATATGAGACACCTGGCGATTTGCAATGTTGTCTTGAGTAGTATTCAGTTCATCATTTATTGTAATCAGACAATGTTCATAACTCTGTTAACAACAAGGCTGGAGTTTACGCTCCTCAAAGAGAATTAACTTAAGTTTTGCTAAGAATCACTGAACCCGCCGCTTTATTCTCACCTTATTACGACTCAAATAATGATGTATGTAGCGGTGTAATCATTAACATTCAAGTGCAACTGCCTGTGATACTTTATTCATAAACGTACAAAATGGTATGTCTTATTACTTAAGACAACTGAATTCGGCAAATAACTTTATGGCACACTAAAGTGAATAGCTTGTCAAAAAGCAGTATGCACCGAGACATGGATTCCTTGAGAAGACTAATAAGACATAAGTAAAAATCTTTACGTAACACGTGTCCCAGCCATTTCAACTGAAGTTTCACTACTTCATCAACTGATTTGCCATCCTTACCTAATACCCGTTTCCTAACAGTTGAGAAGACAAGTTACGCTAAATATTTAACTGATAACAAATACACTTCCCTTTCAGAAATGTTCCAGAAGTGTTTTATTTTAAAAATTACAATAACGACTAGTTATGACTTCTTTTAACATGAATGGCTAATATGCTATAAAAATTTCAAGCAAAATCATGAGCAAGCCAATATCATCTGGTTATAACAAATTATTAGACACATCGTTAGGCTCAGATGGACTATCATGTGATCCATACGATCTTATTCCACAAAAAACAATTAAACTTCTAGAAGCAATCTTTCATAAACTAAGCTAACACTGCCAAGGGAAGCAATGATACATTGATGTAAACGTATGGGTATTCACGAAATGATTCCAACGTTTGATTTACACGTAACAGGTAGTGAGTTACTCTGAATAGTGATTCCTAACATTTAAAATAAATAAATGAATCTGTGGAATATAAATCATTCTGCGAATTACTTTTCTTCGAACAAGTGTAAACGACAAATCAGTGAATTTTAATGTTACTTAACCTAATGAAGACTAAACAAATGATTCAGGTGTCATCATCTACATGAGAAAATTATAAGAGTGAAATCCTCACTAGCACACATCATGTATGGTATTTGTCTTTTAAGAAGCAGCAAAACTTTGTAAGCTGTGTGAATACACGTATTAATTATTTGAATGATGTGATTGTTGTCTTGAGCCAAGAAGCAACAAACTGTAATCGAATAAAATAATATTGTAAATTTCACTTGTCTTTGAATCGTAGGATCACAGCTACCATCAAAATGCACTTACAAAAGGTATCAACTAAGGTGTAAATTATTCACTATGTTGAGCAGCTTCATTATTTCCAATTCTTATTTGAAGTAAACGGTTGTCAGATACGTAAAGAAACAAATATAAATTTTCTTCAGATAAAATACCAGGTGAAGAATTCTCTAAGTTTCATGAATGGTACAAATTCATTAATTTAAACGTATGATAGACGGTCACTTTTTATGTTTGAAGTTTACTTACACAATCACATCTCACCGCTCACAAATTAAAGACTGTTTTATTTTATGGTAGGTTCATTTGAGAGTATTTTCAGAATTAAGATGCTTCCAAAATGACGATGGTACAGAAACGATGGTTGATTCTATGATATTTTAAACTTGAAAGAGTGTACGAGTAGACAGGTTAACACAAATAAGCTTAGCTCATAAATTATGATGCCGTATTTTATATATAATATAATACTTAGATTAGAGGTAAAACAGAATTTTGAAAATAAGTATGCATTGCAACCATTATTGTGATATATACACATATTCATCTGTCAAATAAAATAATATTCAAGGAAACCGCACACAAACACCAGCTTTGAAAATATATCAAAGAGAAATTACAGCCGGCTAAAACTCAAATATTACGACGGCAAATAAAACGCCATTATGTCACGATTATCATAAGCGATTTAAAAAAGACAAATGTCACTAGAAAGTATAACATTAGAGAGTGAATAAAAGTCTCAAGGAGAAAAAGTAGACAATTTACATTCCTTATAACAGCACCCAATAAAAAAAGTAATAGGCGATTGAGATAAGCGATAGAATCAAAAAACATGGGGATGCTAGTTGCTCAGTTGTGTTGAAAGAAAAGTGGAAAAGGGTGTACACATTTTCACGCAGATTTGTCTTTTTTGCTTTTACGATTATGACTTCCTTTAGGTTTGATGTGATGCCACTGAAGAAAGATAGAGAAGTGTAATGAGACAGTGTATCCATGAATAGTAATAAACGGGCAAAAGGTTACCAATATACGCCCGAAAACGTTCTACACAAATAAATACGAGACTTCAGTTAAAAACTTATGTCTAACGAAACTGAACTGTCAGTATACTACAAGCACCATCCACTATGAACAAACTTCATAAGAAATAAGTATTGTACCAAATGTTCCTTCCTCTATACTTCTACTGCAAGAGTTTCACAGTAGTATATCTGAATAGTACCAATGGGCCCATCAATCTTCCAATTCCTTTAGAAAAATACCTCGCCAACATACGTCATTATTTCAAAAAGTATTGACGATACTAAAGATATATGTATTAAGAAGGCACTCTGTCTAGTGGTTACACGAAGTGCATTTGAGGCATTTCACACTATAATCCCCAAAATAGGGGGGTTAAATTTCCTGTTTACCGCCCAGACCACCCTATTTAATTGTACACATCCAGACAAGAACAGAGGGGAAGTACAATGTTGTTACCAAAAAAACAGGACTAACGTCACAGAATTGATTATATGAACAAACTGATTGAGCAATCAATGGATAATAGACAACTAGTTATTTCGCTTGCAACAAGCTTTAAATATTTCTATTTCAATTTTGCATATATTATGGACTCTTGTTCCCTTACAGGCAAATTCCACAATAAAAGGGGACTAGGACACAGCGTAAAAAGAATGTAGTTTACAGGTTTCGTTATTTTAAACCAATAATAGTATTTATCAAAATGTAACATGACTGCATCCGCATAAATGAATGTAATGCTTCTCAAAGGATGACTTTGTTTGTTACAAGCTACTTAATATCCATCGTAATAGTAAATAAGAAATTTGAGATAATTTCTTAATTTCAGTTCGATTATCTTAACTCAGCCTACATGACGAAAACAAATGACCAATATCCTATTAACCGTCGTAACACGCATTAGCTGATTTTCATTTCCACAAGTAAAAAGCTTAATTTTTTAAAAAGTTCGGAAGTGGTTTGATTCTGACAGTTTCAACCAACAAAAACAGTGCTAATCTTCTGGGAAGGAACCAAAATTTGGATGAGTGAAAAAAACTACAGATCAGTTGAAGAACTGCAAAAACTTAGATACTTAGAATTCCAACCTGGTTGTCCTGAATTTGTTCAATGTTAGATAAGTGAGTAGAATCTGATTTATTCCAACTCAGTCCATTGCAAATGCTTGAATTCTGGCGCTGTGTATTATTAGTGGCGGCATCATTCGGGTTAGTACGTTTCTTCTTCTCAGTTGATCGAACTGTACTTGTGGGTTGATTAGAATTTTGACCTGCTGATTCTTGGATTGTATTCTCTTGTTCCCGTCGTTTCCTATGCAACTGCCAAAATGGCCGACGACGATCAAGAAAATCTTTCACAAATTGAGCTGTACGAGCAGTTTCTCCCAAAAAGGTCTGGACCATTCGTTCAACCTATTTAGATTTGATATATAAACAATTAGATTCAATGGGTGTAGACAAAAAATAAGGCTGTCTAAAACATACACGTACACAAATATCTTAAAAATATATACCGAGAAACTCCAGTCACAGAATTATTTTGGATAATTTTTCTGATAAATATACACACGTAACAGTGAATAAATTATTGATTTCAGTTTTGAATCCAAGTAACCTAAATTTGAACCATGTGGTTGATATTATTTTTTATGTTAACTAAGGAATGTGCCATATATAAATACATATAGTGCTTGGATGAATAGCATAATTTGACAGCAATGGATAGGGTTTTTATTTATAACTAAATACATTTTCAGAATGAAGAAAAAGAACGTTAAGTTAGTAACTATGTAAGTCGTAACATTTTAGACATTAATAAAGTCCTTGTGGACTGAAACAATCGAGAATAATACTTTAGCCAAAATACTTTTAGGCCGACAATCAAAAATCACTTTTAGCTTGATCTTGTATAATAATTATTTTACATTTTATGATGATACAATCAAAACAAAGTAAACCATAACGGGTTAAAGGTCAACAATAGCCAGTCAATACCGCGATCCACAGGACAAGCTGCGAGTCAGATGTGGAGAAAGTCAAACACTTCACTTTCACCTGAAATTTGTGCTGATATTGTTCAGAAAACGACAAAAGTTCTACGACCAAACCATCCAACTCAGAGAAGAAAACCACCAGAAATGGTTTTTAGCAGTCTGGTCTGATTGTAAATAAACCACGTATGGTTGAAATATACGATTCATATAGCGTAGGCTGATATTGGTGATCTAGGTTGAACGGGTTGGGCTAGGCGAGAAGCCAATAAACAGAGAACCAATAAAAACTCCGAGTTGATTCTAGGTTGCTGCTCAAGCTGGTTAACGCGTCATTGATGCGGTCATATAAGTTGATGTTTTGACTGGCGATTTTGTCATAAGTCATAAATCTGTAGTGGGGAATTTTAGTTCTAGGTGCTATGTTATGATTATATTTGTCTGTAGGAAAAATTGGTCGATAAATCTCTGTGACAATTAAGTAACAGTAAATCAAGATATTTCTTGATTTCTCTGAAACATATCATACAAGATGGAGTATAGTAGTGCGTTACTTACTTTTGTAGCTGCGATGAATATTTCTACTGACAAAAACATACAGAATGATATTTTTGTAAAAATGGAACACGGAACGAAGCATCGAACATGTAGGCTATTAAGCATAGACAAGGTACTTTAATACAGTTCAGATTGATTGTGTAAATGGTCGGTAAATGCATTGTGATAGGGATAATAAGTGACCATAGCTAGTGGAGTCGTGTGTCAAGGTAAATACAGAGACGCCACAAAAAGATTTTGATGAATATAAAGTCCGAAGTTCAAGTTCAACTGGTATATTGAAATTGGGTGTCGGTCCCATCTTGAGAACCCAATACGGATACTGGGAACTTTAGACTCGCAATAACGGTCAATTATCTCAGAAACTAGTTGTTATCTGAGAACTTAGCAATGACAGATAATCTGCTGATGAAAAAGAAGCGGGTAGTTCAACCAGACATGAAGCATCAAAGCACTTAGATTTCGTAATCAAGATATAAAAGTAAGAAGAAATTTTTGTTCGCAAGACGGGTTTACTAGAAGAGTACAACATAGAAATAAATAACTTAGTCTTGACTGTGTATAATGTCAGCTACAACGTAGGAAAATGAACTTACATGCACCGATTCAAGTTGCCATACCTCATTAGCCCAACAACATGGACACCAAAAATATAGAAGTAGTTACTTCAATGATATTAATATATAAAAAAGATTGTGTATAAGGAAATAATTCGCTCGTAGAAAGAAAGGTACAAAGTAATTTTAATCTCACGGTTTAAGGGAAGATAAAGAGTGTATACACCGATGCCATTATAATCAATTCTGAGCCATGTCACCCAGAGTCTCCAACCATTGGTTACGACCCCAACCAAGTAGATTGCATCTGCCGACATGGCTCAGGTCAGAAGTTGGTGACTTTACGGATTGATATAACGTTTTGGTTTGGCAGCCTCCTAACTTTCCTTCATCCGTCCCCAACAGAAGTCATCATTGCGCGCTGTGGTAGTCGGTGGTTGGGCATGCGTATCATGTGAACCAAACATCTCAGTCGATGAATTTACAATACCATCAACTGATTTACCATCATTCACTAATAATGGTCACGCAGACCCCAACCAAGTAGTCTGCATCTACCAACATTCGGAAATACATTTCACTTGCCGCGGACGCGTAGACAGTATACAAACCCAAATCTAGTCAAGTATAAACTAATCAAACTACTATTCTCAAATAGAATACCAAGGAATAATAATGACGCGGGCCAAACCTGAAACAACAACTTGCATTCAGAGGAGGAGAAACGAATCCCAAACACCCTAACACTGTTGCTCAGTGCTAACAAAATACTGAATTTTATCAGTGTCCTCACCAAACAGGACTATGTCATCTGCGTATTCTAAGTCGATAGGTGCACCTCCTACAAGCAGATCAATCCCCGATAATTCAGTCGACAAAAACGTTGCATCCATCACTAAGTCCATGATGGAATTAAACAAAAATGGAGATAATAAACAGTCTTTTCGGACACCTCTTGACGTTGCAAAATTAAATGACAGTTCGCCAAGAACTTTGACTCGACTGGTAGTGTTCGAGTAAAGAGCACTCACAAGGTTTAAGCACTTCTGAGGTACGCCTTTCAGTGACAGACACTGCCACAGCACCTCCTGGTCAACAGAGCCAAATGCTGCTTCTAAGTCAAGAAGACCACCATTGTCGGACGCCGATAAGCACGCCTGTGTTCTAGAACCTAACGAATGGTGAATATGTGGTCGATGCAGCCACGAGCAGGTTTGAAGCCAGCCTGATTTTTTCGTGTTCGCAGTTCACGAATCTTTGTTAGGCACCCGGTAATTATTTAGGCTAGTATTTTAGATGCCATGTTAGTTAAACTAATCCCTCTATGGTTATCACAGGATGATTTTGACCCCTTCTTATATATTGGGACCATCAGTGATTGGAACCAGTGAGATGGGATTTTTTTATTATTAATGGCTTTATTCAATATTATATTTTGGTACAATATAGAATTAAGTCTAACTCTCAGATTTTAGCTAAAATATTAGTCAACCTAATCGCTAAAATCGGACCGCCATTTTTAAAGACCTGTGTAGTTAATCCATCTGGAGCAGCTGCTCTTTTTCGTTTCAGATTAGCTATAGCCTTTTGAACTTCTGTAAAGTCGGGGGACCTACTTCAATATGCCATTCAGGCTGTCTGCAAATGGTTTCTTAAACTTTTGTTTGTTTTCGCTCCTCATCCTCTTCAAAGTCTGATGAGTTTACGAGAATCTATCAGTGCAATACCTAGTAGAAATCCACTAGTTTTACGTGAACCTTTCGTTCAAATCACAGTTGTTTGTATATCTTTTCTAGCAACATCTGGGTCAGCCTTGTTTTCAAAATCGCCTAAGCGTGGCTTCAGTTATTCCTGGAATCTACGTCTGGCTTTCGCGTTACTGAGTTCAACCGTAATGTGTCTTCTCAATGTGGTTTTCCTGCGTCCAGAGAGGTGCAAGCACATGCATGCTCGTATTAGAGCATGATGGGAGTCCAAATAGGTATTCCAGGAAGAGCGACAGTCTTCTATTGAGCCTCTCTAACGATGACCGATGGCAATATGGTCTATTTGAGTCCATCGTTGGTTTAGGGCAGGCGGCCGCCATGTAAGACGATGTCTCTCCTTGTGCTTAAAAGTAGTGCTTGTTGAAAATAAACAATTGTCTGAACACAGTTGCAGCAGACGATCAACATTATCTGTTCTCTGAGCCGGAATACCTAAATGTCTTTCAGCTTGGTTTAAGCTAGCTACCTAGGCATTAAAGTCACTTGATACGAGTACTACATTTCAGTGTTTAGCTTTTTGAAGAAGTTAAGAAATTTTTCTGTAAGTCATCTTTCACTTCATCCGGGCTGCAAACAGTGGGAGCGTAGGCAGAAACGACAAAAAGGCAACGACGTATGGCCCTATCCTTCCGAGTTCTTACGGCGCCGTTTAGCCGAACAGCACAAAGGCGACTGTTAACGGGGATCTATTCTAATAGTGCCTGTTCTGCCCTCGTACTTAGTGCTATGCCTAAACCTGCCAGTCCACGAGAACTAGCCATCGGGTCACCAGATGTATGGAGGGTGTATCTCGTCGGCTCTCCGTTTTGCCGAGGTGAGGTCAAGTGAATGACAACATTAGGATCCTGTATGTGTGTTTCGGAAACACAGCATACATCAATGGTACGAGATTTTAGGGTTTTTAGCCAAGGAGGCCTGTTGGCCAATTTGACATAGGGTGTGTACGTTGAAGGCTTCAATGTGTAGTTTGGAGCTAGGTTTCAGTAGACCTGGGACAGTATTTCGAGCACTAGAATCCTTGGCCATAGGGACACTTGAGGAGGAAGTCAAAAGAGAAGGTTTAGAGATGAACATTGACATACGAGGAACAATAGGAATTGAAGAGGGAGATTAACTATGAATACAGTGATCATGAGTGCTGTTAGAGGTATGAGGGCGGTTATCACTTCCCAGTTGCCCACATCGTGGAAGGGTTTTTCTGGAGGTACCTGAAAAAGAAATGGGATTAGAGGTGGTCTTAGTGACCTGAGAGCTTTACCGCAATGCCCAGGGGACAACTGCTTGATGTCGGTCACACACGATCTTTTTGTGAGTAATTTTCGTGTTAGCTCCGTACTTATTGAAACCTTACCACCGGATACGGAAATACTTAGGATAAGGCGAGATGGACATTTCTAGGGTCGACCTTTCCTAACTCCACTCTTCCTTGTGGGAAGGCAACATCGCTATTATGTTGGTTGTTTTAAGGAAACATCTAACTACCGTCACACCTCTGTACAGTCAGCAGTACGACTTCGCCTTCGGAACTTGCGTTTGCTGCTTTTAGTCTTGCCGCTTTTCAAGCGACCTGTCTGGCATGGTAGGACCTTGAGGAACGGTTGTTCCAGACAGTATAGCTCGGTTGCTTCATCACGATAGGCAAGCCCGACCACCACGTCAAGGTAGCATCAACGGTCGGGAATCACGTATAATACACAGGAATGGAAAAAGATATGATAAAATATGTAGACTATCAAAATATGCCTTACTTCGTATGGGGCATCTAGTGTAGCCAGTAACTCAACAACAGTAGGAATATCCACCTTTTCGCGCATCGGCATTGAACCAAGCCTCGATTGACACCACTGAGTAAGCTTTTTGAGTTCATCCTCAACTGTTTGGTCAGGATCTGTTTCCGAATTTGATGCAACTGAAGCGCAAGCTGCTTCCGTAGGACGAATATTCACGCTAGAGGATACCTGGGATGACGAGGAATTATTCTGAATGACTGCCTTTGTAGGTGACCGGACGTTGTTTGATTTAGACCCCTAAAAGCATGAATATTTGAAGACAGTATGGAAAAAATTAGAGCAGAACGCTTGTTTAAAGTTTTGTCTGCAAATATGTTTCGCATTTACATTGCGAGTGGAAAAGTTCATAATGCTTGAAGGACTAATATAGTATAACAGTACGTTTATTCGAAAAAAAATAATCGTAAAAAGGGGCTTTTCAAAAGAATGAGATCTACATCATTATGTTGGTGTCCGAAAGAGGAAACAAGGATGTACATCTATTGCCCAACTATTTCAGAAAGCAGTGTGAGATTTTGGAACCAGTGGTCGATGGGATTTCGAAATATAAAAGACACAAGATACTAGATCAAGTACCAGTTAACATTGTTTTAAAATAATTATAGACAACGTATGCATATAAAAGTTGAACAATTTAGTTCTCCAAAAACATTTACAAAATGATTAACGTTAAAATAGTAAGCTTATTGATAGACCATAATAGTCAAACATCCAAAACAAAAACTAAGACGACAAAAAAAACAATAAATAACGATGGGTAGGGAAGATAATACTATTTCCGAGATCAACAAGTACATAACGTCAAAAAGTTGATATACTCGAGATTCAAATATTTTCACAGAACTCACATCTGCATGAAAACATCAAAACCAATCTTCCAAGTTACAGCATACATTGAAATTTACCAAAAAGAAATTAAACCAAGTAATTATCATCAAACAGCACTACTGGCCTGTGACAAATTTCCAAATAATAACAACACGATTATTTGCTACGCAGTTATAGAGCTGATAAATTCAAACAAATTTCCGATTTTCGGATGCGGGATTGTGCATGTTCATTGTTAAAGAGTTCCATTCTACGACGAAACGGTCGTCCTGCGCTTTCATGTTTTCAATGGTAGTTTATTTAAAATTAGTTCTTGATTTAAGCTATCAAACTTCTATAGTCTTCACATATCCCTCAATACAAATTTTGAAGAGAATTAAATAAATCGAGGATATGTTTTCATAATTAGAAGTTGACAAAAACAGTGGTTAATATGACGAAATGAATCAGTGAGTGGCATTTCGCTTTTTGAGATTTTCACTGTTATTACGAGCAGCTCAAAGGTGTATAGTAGACATGAAGTGTATTTATTTAGAATCCAAAACTAAGACATTCCAAATCCTCACTAGCAAGCTGATCGTTTGGTCTTACCAAAAGAAATAATATCCCCCCACATAAAATTATTATTTAGTTACATAAGGAATATTTTTCGTATAGAAACATGGGACCATTTGGACTACGAAAACAAAAGATAACTGTCATAATGGAATTAGGACAAATGGATATGAGACTCGGAGTCTAAACTGACTACGTAGTGGATTATCACCAACCATAGTAAAATAAAAACAATTAGTTTTCTGTAGTATTAAAAACCGATGAAATACTTAGTACTATCATCAAGAAATTTTCACCAATGGTAGATAAAAGTATTATTAAACTATAAAAGACTTTCAATGCTAACAGACACTTTGTAGACTGCATGCAGAAACAGGTATAGGAATTCAAAACATGGGAAGTAGCCCTAACTATCCAAAGCTTAACTAACAACAAAAGTAGAAATGGACTACACAAGTATTACCTTATTATAGTCATCGGAAAATAGTACGGTGTATAATATATCCCTTTTGACAGGAAATTGAGGGTCCAAACATAAGCTATAAACCAAAGAACGCAAGTATATTTATTTATGTTCATTTATGAACAAGAAAAACTTATTTGTACAACTTCTAAACTAATCCCGGAACTATAGCAATTTAAATTTTGAATGATGAAGTGTCAACTAATAATAATGCCCTCCAATCTATGATATAAAAATAATTAAATTAATTACCAAAAACGAATGCCACAGTATGAACAGAACAAGTAGTACAAAAGATAATTTACCAAAGAAAATAGCTGAATTATTTCTTTTTACTAACCTTAACTCTGCTTTGATTTGTTGACCCTGTTCGAGACGAACTAATTGCAGTCTGTTTCTGCTCTGTACTGCGCACAGAACCTCCAGAACAAACCTCAGTATTTTTGGGGCCTCGGCCATTTTGCTGAGTTCGGTTATATCCATCTAAAGAAATTGACTGGACAGGTTCAGATAATGTTGAATCTAGTTGGATTTTAGACTTAACATTAGTCGGTCGAGGACTAGTCGACGGCTTTGAAAGTGTAGATTGAGGCTTGTCTAAATAATTTGGACGACAGCAATGAAGATTCTGACTGACAACAGAAGTATTATCCGACAAGTCTTTCTCACAGTTTTTCCCATAAGATAACTCACTAGATACCTTGTTAAGTGGTGCTGGATTGAATCGCCTACAAAAAGGATAAAAAACAAATAATACAGGAATAAACAGCATACAAATAAGTGATTGAGATTCCGCAGTAACTGAACGCCATTTCTCCAAAATCCTATCTTTATATCGCGCTTCAATAGTAGGGGAATAAAACACTACTTTTCAGGGAACATTCGTATAACTGATTAATTAAAAACAAAGCTGTGTATAAATTAGTACAAAAGAAGAAATACAATTAGTTGAAGAAGCAGTTTAGTTATTAAAACACTCAGCTTTTGCCTAGTAGATCGAAGGTTTGAACAGCGCTTCTTTTACTTGGGTTTGGACAGCCAGATATTACGCTAATCCTTACTCAGTGTAGTGAATAGATAAAATTGAGCTTGATAAATGGAGTTACATTATCATCTTTTTATTAGGGGGAGGCTATTAAGTTTTAAGTGAATAATACAATGTTTACGGTGGATGTAATTTTATTTTATTTATCTGACTACAATAATTTAGTTGAACCCAGGATTCCATCACAAAACAATTTAAGAATGTTGTTTGCTAGATAAAAACTTGGGGAAATTGCTACAGTCCACAATATAAAGCATACATACGGTTTCACATAAAAATTAAGTGAACAGACTAATCCAACTTAAATGCAATGGATTTGAATAATAAAGAAGTAAGCTCCTTACCCTTCACTACAATGAGGTGCACTTTGATTTAGCGTAGAACCAAGAGAAGGCCATTGTGTTTCAGATTCTTGATGTCGCTCGCTTACAGCACTGATTTCCGAAGTATGGAAGATCGATGAACTGGCAATGCATTCGTTATCAGAAGGCTTATCCTTCTTAGAAGTGAGTAAACCGTTAGAAGAAGGCGCTTCTGCGTTGATATTACCCAACCCGACTCCCTAAAAAGACGAAATAACACTAAAATATAACAAAAACAGGAACTGTATTAGTCTAGATTGTCGAGGAAGAAAGGACTCCATGTTATGAATCTAAAAAACTTGATGTTTAGCCTTCCTCGTCGGTGAACAAAGTAGTAATAAAAGTGTAAAGAGAACTGGTACATTAAAAATGTCCAGAAATATCATATCAAATGAAAAAATGTGCTACACGATACTGAACGACAAATTCATATGATTCTCTGACAAACTAATGCCTTCTGAAACAATGTATTTTCAAGCATTGTGTATTTTGACTTGAAAAGTCTTTTATGTAAAGGCTAGAACTGAAATTACTATTTTTTTCAAATGTGTATCCTTAAACTTAGAGGATTTATAAATGTAATCTATAACAAATCACAAATATTACGGCCTTTAAGAAATCTATTTTATCTTTATTAAATAATCATTCACAGTCTTACATAACGTTAGAGCATAGCAAAATCACACAGTTGCAAAATATCAAAAAGAACGAAGCATGATAACTGCCTAGGGGTCATAGCTTACTCGAGTAATCAGTAATTGCGCTAAAGCTAACGCCTGAGATGGCTGCATGGGAGTTTGATCCGGACTATGAGAACCAACCAATGCTGCGAGCTGAGCCGCCAATTGCGCTGTTTCTGCGAGCTGCTGCATGGGAGTAGAAGTCTGATTTGCAGACGGGGGATGCAAGTTTAAGTACTGGGTTAAAACAGACCAAAAACCTGGAGATAGAAATGAACTAGCTGCTGAAGTAAGATCATCCATAGTAGTTCCATTAGTGCCCTGAAGTCTGGAGGGGAACTGCAAGTTAAAAGATGGGAAGGATGGATTCAGTGGAATCAAAGAAGTTAAGTTCATGAATGTCGGGGCAGAAGAAATGGCCTGTTTGTGTTGTTGAACATTATTAGGATCGTCTAATACAGATTTAAAGTCTCCCTCTGCATTGTCTCGAATTCTTAGATTATTGATTGAATTGTTTAGCAAGGACATGGGTACACTCACAGAAACTGATGTGTTGATAGAGCCATAGGCAAGACTTTTAGAATTTGTGGTGTTTAAACCCTCTTCAGTAACTTGACAAGTAGGTACTGATATTCCGGCAGACGTTGTAGCGTTAGAAGCTGATGTCTGAAGAAAACAAGAGAAATATTCCTAATTTGAAAGACGGGAACGAACGATTAAAAATTTTCATACTAGGATAACGTTGCAAAGAAAATAAAACAGAAACTGAATGTTTAGGAAAACACTCAACAACTTCAAGGATACAACGCTGAATAAAGTAGTTTCTAGAAGCGTGTACATGGATTTTAGGTACACCACTATGGGTAGTAGGATTTTGAGAAGATAAAAATCAAACTTACGGAAAAATCTGAAAGTTGCTGGTACAACTGGTGCTGTGGTTCTGACAACAATGAACGACTAGAGTCAATTGTGGAATTTCCAACCATACTTGCATTTACTCTACTACCCTCTGATTGATCATGATTGGTTGAATTACAAGGTAACAAATCTGTCGGAGGGTTATCGGAGTTCTTAAAATGTGGTTTACTCAAGAAACCAGATGAAGACAGAGCTAACATAGCTTGATTGATCTCTCCACGAATAGGGGGTATTCGAGGACCAGAGACAAATGGAACACGTTCAAACAACTGTGTGTAACTGGCTAAACAACAAATATAGCAAGAAAAATGTCATTCTCTAATTTTTAATGCTTAATTTTTACGAAAAAATGTAAAACATTGAAAGCTAACAGAACAAATATATTTGTCCACATAGATGTAATTAGTTGTTATAAAATATTAGAATTACGTAAGATAATTTATCAGCTTGCACAAATAAAACGTTGATTTATTAATCGAATTGCTAAGCGAATTTTGAGGAATCCGATTTCATTTTAAGAACATAGTTATTATATAGAGGATTGCAATCTACGATTCAACTCAACGGTTACTTAGAATTTACATGGAATTTTGATTGCGATTCGTTATTAGGATTAGATGAACTAACTGATAACCATGAACAGTCTAACAGAGTATTTTAAACACACAATATATAACAGTCGAAAAAGGAAAGCTGATCGAAAGAAAAAAGTTTATTTTTCAGTCAGCTTTGTCCTCTAGCCTTTAAATAATACCTAAAAGTAACAACAGACGAGTTCGAACTCATATTAATGTATATTTTAAAGCTTTCCGAGTACAACTATTAAGTTGAAAACTGATTTTCCAAATACACTTCCCTGTAAATATCTGAAAAATGCCGTCTCTACTGTTTCATCATCCTTTGGATTATTTTGAAGTATTGGTACCATACCAAAGAATCGAGCCTCGGAATTAGGTCTAAACTGATTAGCGAGTGAGTGATCTATAAACTTATTCCGTCCAATAGCCTATGACATTTTAATTTGTGGCATATCATTCTGTTATGTAAAAAAGTTATTCTCCTGACTGTTGGTCTTATCTTTGACTTCAAATCATTTGAGAGTTTACATAATTAAATCGGTCTCGTGAGCAATCATCACTTAACCACAACATGTCACTGTGTACTTCATATCGGTCAACATTCTGCTTTCATATTGACGATCGAAAGTCCGTCCATCAAATCACAATAAATCTAATCCGCAACAAATATATGCTGGAAATTAACAAATGAAGATACTCTTAACTTACTAATTAATTGCACCCTACGTGTAAAATCATTATAGTGTTTAAAACACCTACCATTTTAAATCCAAAAGTACTTTAACCGATGCATAACAAACTGAATGGTTTTGAAGAGCGAGACATCTTACCGAGAGTAGAAAATGTATCGTCACATTGACGTCGTATACGAAGATTTGGAGTAAAGTAAATCCCAGCCATAAGCCATTCATTCATTTGTGCATCACTGAAAGTACCTTGTGTCCGACCCTGTGGATCTTCATACAGCCACATATGTTCATCCGACTGGTCAGATCCATTACGTCTAACGAAACCTTTCTCTGCGCTCAGTACATTAGGAGGATGTTGAACACTGCTATTCGACTAAAATGCAAAACAAAATGGCGAAATTTATAATTAAAAAACATGAAACCTGGGTATCAGGAGTATAATAGGCTATAAAAACTTTGTGAAGAAATGAGGGAAAGGGAGTACAATCGAAGAGAAAAATTCGATAAGAAATTTTGACAAAAGACATAGTTCACCTAGCAATAAAATTGAGATCCTTTTCAGTCAAAAAAATTCCCTTCATTTTTATGAAGTGTAAGAGAAAAGACTACAATAGGATTATCAATGGTTTTTTGTTACGAGCAGGCCGCTGAGTTACACCACCTAGATCACGAAATTTTGATGAACCGATAGATGCCAGTCTCATACAGTTTCCTTTCACAGCACGACACCATGTCAAAAAATGACCACTAGTAAGCTGCTTTACACCCTATCTCAGTGTCGGCAAATAAAGCAGGATGTGGAAGCCGTTAGGATGACATTCGTAACACATGTCCATGCCACACGTCAATGTTACACAGTGTAGCGACACTAACTGAACTATCGTCACTTTCTGAGCACGCACGAGAATACTAACATGGTTTTGCCATTTGATGCCGGCAATCATCAGGAGAACGATGATCGAGCACAAAGAGTGGTCGAATAAACTGAACTTGAAAATGTCAGGTCTCACAAACTTAAAGAAGAAAGGTTTTCACCAACACGTAAAACGTTTGCAGCCAGATCAACATCACGACAGATCCAAAAATGGATCAGACTGGGATAAGCCTCTATGGTCTCGATAGGAATCGCACAGCCACCCACATACACGAGCTTTTCGACTACTAAAAGCTTACCACAAAGCGTGTATGAATTTGGAATGTGAATACTACATGCCATAATTACGGACACTGACTACCAACCGATTAAAAAAATCTTCATACATATGAAAACAAAATATAATTACAAATATCCACGTTGAAATGTAGAACATCCTATGATACTAAGTAGCTAACAGGCTAGTCGAAGAACTTGTAAATAGTCTGAAAAGGAGTAAAAGTTTACCTTATGGCCTGTGTGCACAACTATAAACATTATCGTTCAGTGAGTAATGAGCACAAAAACAGGTACACTCATAGAACTAAAACAGATTAGTAAAATTTACTATGATACGTCGTCTTACAGATCCACAGAAATCATTCGATGACAAGCAACACGAAATATGAATATCATCCATGATAATATTGTTCTACAGAGATATTTTTTAATGTTCATAGTTCAGTGGAATACGAAAAATTATTTTACGGTTTATAATACAGATATGTATCTGCATTTTTTGTTCATATCAGTATATTACCAGAGAAGGTTGTAGTAACTTCAGATAGAAAAAACCAGTTTCATACAAAATGTTGCAAACGAAACTTAAAAATGTGTAAAATCAATATTTAATAAGACTTTTTCAAATTCACAAGTGTACAGAAATAGTATGGACTATTCAAAGTACAACTAGTAAACATGGATTTTAGACCTTAACATACCAAGTGATCAAATTACAGAGAAGTAAGAATCTAGACCAATGAAAGAAATGGGCAGAAGACAATAATAAAACAGTTTTAACATAATCCGTCTCATCTTTGAAAATCTTGGTCGAAATTTTGTAGGATGTCCGCCAAATAATTACAACCATTGCAGTGCATACATTCAAGATCTACCCTAATACCAAGAGTTAAATAACACATATCTCACAACACATCAAACAGGGATATGACTAAATATACAAGCAAATATCAAAAGCCTAATGTGCATTTAACTCTCAACATATGATTGTCTATGTATTCCCTTACCAACGGATACGCTTGACTTGAATTTGATTGCACAAGTCGATCAAATGAAGATAATTGTGAAAAGAAACCACGTATGTTTTCGGCGTCAGGAACGCTGCAGCTAGAATGTCTATTAGTTTCTGTAGCGGCGACCCCACAGAAGTTGGATACGGAGTTGGAGGTGGAATCAATAGGGTTAAAGCCATGTAAGTGCTGTGGAACAGACTTTGACCATATGTGCTGCTGCATCCATATAGCGTTTGAATTTACACTGGAATCTAAGGTCTATAACACAATTTGTTAAGAAATCCAGTGAGATAAATTAGTCATGACAATACAGAAGGAAAAGCATAAATCATTTTAAAACGTGTTATGAAGCTGTCGACTGAACGTAGAAATTGAAATATGATAGTACAATTAAATTTATTTAAGATTTATACTTTGTATTCAAGGTAACACAGTCGAGGAAGTAGTACTAATACGTCGAGGAATTTAACAAAATTCGATACACAAAACGATGAACATAAATTTCAGTTAAGTCACAATTAGGAGAAGGATGATCATTACAGCTTTCGTATCGCAAGGAAAGGGAGTCAAGTGAGTTGTTAATATAGTATTTACATGACTTTGAAAGTGGTAGTTCATTGTTCGAAGTACGTGGCTTTCAACGATAGAGGTTGCAGTTTCAATTCCTGTGTTACCTACCACTAGCCATCGCACAAAACGTGTGGTTTGAAAATCAGTAAATAACCCTGTTATTGATAAACAAGTTACTAATATTACTACCTTGGAAAACTGATAGAATGATTTCTTGTGATGTTACAGTAACAATTTAAAGCATTGACGAGTTTTCGAGATAACCTCAACGAAGACAAAGTACTTACCAGTACAACTACAAAAAACAAGTTTAAGCCACTTTGAAGATAGTATCCTTACCGTCAGATCTAAAAAAGCATCAATCGGATCTGTCGATGAAGTGTTTTTCACTACCGCTAATCAAAATTAATTTTTGCTACAGAATCCCATATCTTGTTTCTATGGTATTTCTTCTAAAGTTCTTTTCCAAATAGACAAGTATAGAAAGTTTTCAACTACATTTTAGTATATGGTCGCTTAGGATAAATGAATTATACACACTCAATATCAATACTACAAGCGTTCTATGAAGCACTGTAAAGCAGACTTGAACATCATTTGGATGACATGGCAGTCAAGTCATCTTGGTGGACCAAATAACATCAATGTTTATTGCTTTGATTTGTACATCTAGAAGTGGTTTATAGAGTGTGTCCCAATGTTTGTCGCACAAGTGAGAAATCAATTCAAGCATTGTTGTGATTTATTAAGTTCGTTTAACTGAAGCTGTTTTTATTAGAATGAAATTGCTTGAATTTAAGTAAAAGTAATCGTAAAACGCAAAACGGATACCTTGTCTGGATCATTGATTCCATAATAAGCACTGACAGCCCGTTTACTCTGATTATTATATGAATCAGTATTGTGACTATATGGATCTGATCGGGGAACTGGGATACCATCATTAGGTAAAATAGAATTTATATTCAACGTTGGGTTGCTTACAACTGACGAATTTCCTGATAAGAGAGAACCCCCTACATGCTGCACTTCGAGAGGTCGAGCACTCGATGAAGGTAAAGAATGACCCGTTGTATTCAGGCTTATTGTATCTGGTACTTTGTTAACCTGAAAAAAAAACAGTGAATTTTACTTAAACAGAAATAGAAACCGCACTTATTCAACACACTTTCTGATTTTTACATAATTTGAAATTCACGCTCTTAAAATTGTGCTATCTGATTCAAATTGAATTTTCGCATAACTATTAAGACTACTGAGACATACTAGAATATTCCAAATCACGGACCACTCTGAAAATAGACGAATCAATTGTCCTTTGGCAATTTCCATTATACCTTGATTAGTTTTGGGTGAAAATGATCAGTCGAGTCAAAACTGTATGCTACTAACAAATAGATGAAACTATATACACCATTACTTTTAAATCCCGATGAAACCATCTTAGGAGTGCAAAACCATGTAAGCTAAATACAGAGACAATATTAAACACTACACACACACTAGTGACTATAGCGCCATAAAAATTAAACTATAAAACAAAAGCCATTCGAAATAATTCTATGTATTAATCCATTATATCTAAAAAACCAACTATTAGTGGTAATTACCAAAACGAGAGGTGGAGCGGCGAGTCGACGGTTAAGGCGTTCGACTTTCAGCAAATAACTTTTGGGTTCGAACTCCACCCCACTTATTTCGGTTTGGGGGTTCGTGTAGCACCACTAGTCCCATTGAACAGAGCACAATTTGTTGGAAGAAAACGCTAATCTACTACGTATCGATAACTTACTTTCGAACGAATTCTCGCATAACCATATTTTATGTTCTATTCTGCGATAATATCATACTTTAAAAATTAGCCAGAAATGAAGTTTCTGAGATAATAGTGTTTGTTATTCCTCTTTAATAGAAACGGAGAGAATAGCAGTTTGGGATAACATACAGTCACAGAATAAGTCCCAGAAATTTACAAATGAAAAGTATGCAACCCAGAGAAGAGTTAACAAGTGCAAGTGCTATAGAAAATGAATTTGCAGAGAACCACGTGTACTCCTTAAAACAATAGATCATAAACTTCCTAGGGTTGTTTAAACTGCTGGAAGTATGAACCAGCCCAAAACTACACAACTCTTTAAAAAACTAATGCACACTTACGGACGTTTCAATGCCTGAGTCTGAGTGGAGTTGCCAACACGGTTCGGAAGGAGAAATCATAGAGGACTTCTGAGTCCATTGCACTGCTTGTTTGTTGGTATCAACACAATGGCTAGCAGGATTGATGACTTGATTGGCATTGGATTTTCGACCATATATAGAGTCAGAAAATTGTATGCTGTGTGAGTACTGTTTGGTCACCTCATTGGAAGGTTGTCCTTGACTGTGAAACAGGTCAGAAAAGATATAAATATAAATATATATATATGAACATCGATTATGAAGTAGGATTTAGATTAAATAAATAGGGGTTCAAGTTGCTACGTTTCCTCTTAGGATGAAGAAAAAGTTGTAGAAAACATTAAAATGATAAACGCATATGAGCATGAGAAACCTAATACATGAAGTGTAATTCGTAACAGAAAAGAAAACTACCAAATAACAAGCTTAGTACTAAAAGGAAGATGGATGCGTGACTGGAACTGCAGCCAAGTTTTACTTGTCACAATAAGGAGTAAAACCCAACGAGACGATGTTATGTCTTGGGGAAAAGTACAGGGGAGTCTTTTCGTGATTTCATACTACAAAATCCACAGAAATGAGAAAGACCCTTTTAAGTGAGTGGATCTTCTTGGCTGTCTTTTCAATTATATTATCATTCACTTATTGGCCAATTGTACGACACTTTTCCATTTTCTCTATTTTATAATATTTTCAGTTTGTTGGTATTGCTCTATGATTTTGGTGTCCTACTGCACTATAATCGATGTAGGATAATACTTGGGTTTGGAACGACAATTGCTAAGGTGTTAATGACTAAACTGAAGTAATCAGATAGAAAAATCAAAGCAGTACGCTTTAGTGGAAGGATGGACAAGCTGGATAGGTAAATTAAGGCTCGTAGGGTCTGCATAACATCATCCTAACTTTTTAACTTTACAATCATTTAATGGCAATGACGGAAACTTGCGAAGAAATCTTCAGGACGGAAAAACCGCTAGGGATGCACTATCATATATTTTTTTCCAAAAAGGAACAATAGGGACAGGATAGGATATAATAAGCACCATGGAGCATGAAAGGTACCATAATAAGATTTAGATAAGAGCTATACAACAAATGGTGTTGAAATCAGATTTCTTGATATGAAGAATAAACTGTGATAGACGGAGCTCAATCTGTATGTATTAAAAATGCTTACGTCACTAACCCCAAACCCTGATTTCATTTCATGTTAAATAACAACATAAATATAGTACGTTTATAACAGAAACGTGCCTGTCCGTTTCAGCTACAGAAGGTGCGCAAATGGTGTCACCTGGCCACACAAGTTTCGAAACTTTACCTACAACCATATCTAACGAAGAAATAGTCAACGAATTTAGAAGAGAACCTTTTCGTTTATCCCCGGGAACAGAAAAATTAGAATGTTTCTGGACGAAGTTTGAGAACAGGTTGGGAGATTTGCTGGAAACCCGACCTTCGGTTGGACTATGACTTGACTGTCTTCTAGAATTAAATGCATCATCTGATAATTCCCTAATCCATTGAGGACTGAATTGAAAGGATTCTGGTTGGGCTGTCATTTTTTTGATAACGTTTGGAAAGAATTCTTTGTTAAAACGTTTTGGTGAAAACTAAGTGGACACGTATTAGGCCTGTTCAGTTTACTATCTTAATATAAGCATACAGGTCCTGTAGCCGTATCGTAAATTATCAACAAAGGAAGAGGACGTCAGCTGTGACGAACACTTTTGAAAGATCCGCAAAACAGTTGTATGAACTGATAAAAACAACTCATTGCGCATTTAAAACATTCCTTAGTCTGACAGCTATCTTTGTGAAACCTTGTTGCGTCATTTTTATCCAGTTGTTTCAAATACGTTTCACAATAGGAAGTGTTGGCCATGGTAAAATATCTGTGACCCTCGGTATAAATTTTTCTCACTTGCCGGCTTCATGTACATTTCATGAATAACAACTCATAATTGACTCATTTCTATATGTCCTCATTTACTTAGGTCCAAAAGAGCAAACAGTGGAGTGAAAGAGACGCCAAAAGCTAACAATGAGCTTCACCTATCCATTTTATAATCATTTAAAACGGAAATAGTGATTATCCAGTCACCCTATCGCATTCCACATCTTCCAAATAAAATTATTTACGTTCCAAGTTAACCAATTGTGAGGCAGCATTTGTTGTATTAAAAAATGTTTAGGAAAGTTCACATGGAGAGATGGTTTAAAATCTCTGAAGCTGATACTGATACATTGTATGTTCCTCTAGCTGGAGAAATCTGATTAGAAAAAATGTATACCACATTATATCTGTGGATGCCTATATGTTTTGTTACAATGAAAATGTGATGTAACCATTATTCAAGTATAACTTAGGTGTTTCAGTAAGGAACCACGTGGCCGTTTAACCGCATGGAGAACCAGTCAAGAGACGCAAAATAAACGTGGATGCATTCTAGTCAACACCAAAGATAAAAGAAAGTGGTATTAGGAAGATCGTCCTCACCTTTTCAGCACGGCATTTTATCTTTAATACAGAATGCAGTATGAGCTCGAGAAGAACGAACACCTAAAATGAAAATCTACAGATAGCAAATCAGATATTTGTAAGCTCCTCTTTGCAAGTCAGCATTTACAATCCATCATGATATGGAGGTTTTGTCCTTTAATCTGCAGCAGGTGCCTAATATACTTACAGACAAATTCAATCAAACAGACAACAGAGTTGATTCTCCAGTTCTTAAGTTTGAATATGCATTTATCGAGTGATTTCTCCAAAGACAACTGGTAATTAATCTCATAGGTAAAACCGTTTAACTCTGGAAAACTGTTTATTTCTCGGTAGAGTTTTGTTCTCTGAGCTGGATGGTTTGGTCGTGGAGCTTTCATCGTTCTTCTGAACGACATCATCAGCACAAACTTCAGATAGAAGTGAAGTGTTTGGATTTCTCCATATGTGTCTCAAAGCTTGTTCTGTGCACCTCGACGTTGATTGGTTCTTATTGACCTTAAAGATGTATTCCAGAAGAACGGCTACCCCATCAACTTCATCAAAAAATACCAACGGCACGCAGCATTAGAACTCAAGTCAAGCACAAAAATCAACAAAAGGATCACCCTACCATATATACAAGGAATATCAGAAACCGCGACGAGACTGCTGAAAACCTTCGGAATAGGTGTGGCACACAAACCGACAAAATCACTACAATCAATCTTATGCAAACCAAAAGATGAAATAACAAAGGAAAACAAATCAAACATCATCTACAAGATAAATTGTGCCAACTGCGAAAAACACTATATCGGACAAAGTGGACGCCCCCTTCACCTTCGCCTACATGAACATCAATTAGCAGTCAAACGGCATGATATCTCTTCACTTATCTCAATACACGTGGACAACTGCGGACACTCATTCGACTGGAAAAATGTGGAAATCTTAGACAGAGGAAACTCCAAAAACACCAGAGAATTTTTAGAAGCCTGGCACTCAGGTCAATCAGCAATTAACAAGCATATTGAAATCAATCCAATTTATCAACCAATCAGAAAAATCAGGCACAAACATACGAACAAAAATCAAAACAATGGGAGACACAACCAAAACAAAGAAGTAAACAACGACAAATTTAAGGTCAATAAGAACCAATCAACGTCGAGGTGCACAGAACAAGCTTTGAGACACATATGGAGAAATCCAAACACTTCACTTCTATCTGAAGTTTGTGCTGATGATGTCGTTCAGAAGAACGATGAAAGCTCCACGACCAAACCATCCAGCTCAGAGAACAAAACTCCACCGAAATCATCCACCTGAGCTACAAATCTTCTCCACCATCTCTAAATCATATGAGCGTTATACGCTTCTCGTTGTTCGAAAATGGGAGAATTTCGCCAAAAGGCAGGCTTCTACTCGAGAACAACTATATTTTCTCCACGAGTGTCTTCGCCAGCATGTTCTACCAACAAGTGTAAGATATAGACCTCCAATCAACTGCGCATTAGGATGGAAAATAGCTGAGCAAAGTGGAAGAAAAATGGTACACCTAATGATAAGGGATGCACACTACAGAATCCGCAAATACCAACACGTCATAGAGGACCAAAAGATGAAGCTACACAGGACACGTACGTCAGAACACTTGGAAATCTTGACAACAGCCATCGAGATATCATGCAAACGACACAGAGAACAAAGAAGGAACGCCTTAAAGAAAAAACTGATCAAGATCTCAAAACCACCCATGGAAGAAAACACAAACAACTGCGTGATAAATTTGTCAAAACAACCATTAACAAATACGGAAGAGCACCTACTCCAGAAAGGATTAAACTACAATACAAGCGACGCCTCAAAGCTGGAATTCTTCGCAGCACTGGAGTCATCACTCAAAACTTCGGGAATCAGTGAAGAAACAAAACAAGAAATAAGGCAAACTATAGTACCGCTAACTCAACGTGCGAAGGAAAACAACCAACTGACTCCACAAGAACAAAAGGCCTTAAAAGAACTCAAAAATAGAAAGGATATCGTCATAATACCAGCGGACAAGGGACGCACCACAGTAATCATGGACAAAGAAGAATACGTCAAAAAAGCCGAAGAACTACTAGAAGATAAGAGCACATACAAACTGATGGATACAAATCCCGTCAAAAAATTAGACAACCAAATCTCAAAGACCTTAAACAAACTAGTCAAAGCAGGAGAAATAACAAAACAAGAACAATGGAGAATGAAATCCAACGGACCAGTACTTCCTCGATTCTACGGTAGACCCAAAATACACAAGCCAAACATCCCACTTTGTCCAATTGTAGCACTCCCCGGAACACCAACATACAATTTGTCAAAAGAAATTTCAAGAATACTGAGACATTTAGTAGATTCAGCCAACCACTCAATCAAATCCCCTACACAATTCCTGGACCAAATTAAGGACATCCAAATCAACAACGACGAACTGATGATATCCTTCGATGTGACAGCACTATTCACCTCAATTGAACCAAAATTAGCAAAAGAAACTATATCCCTGCTACTCAACAACGACACAAACCTCAATAAATACACGACTCTTCAAATTCAAAGTCTACAAGAACTCATCAATTTATGCCTAACAACATACTTTCAATTCAACAACAAAATCTACGAGCAAACGAAAGGGACACCAATGGGATCACCAATATCAGGATTGATCGCAGAGGCAGTGATGCAAAGACTAGAAGCCGCTATATTACCAGTGATCAAACCAAAAATTTGGATTCGCTATGTAGACGACACCTTCGTCATCGTCAAAAAGAATGAACTAGAAAACACTTACAACCTGATCAACAACGTCTTCGATGACATCAAGTTCACCATGGAACAAGAGTCAGACAACCAACTAGCATTCTTGGATATATTGATCACTAGAACCGACACAGGAAAACTAGAAACTCAAGTGTATAGGAAACCGACCCACACGGATCAAATTCTCAACTACAATAGCAACAACCCCAGAGCTCACAAAATCAACTGCGTACACAATTTGTTCAAGAGGGCGAGGACACACTGCAGCACACTGGCAGCACGAAGAAATGAAGAGAAATACCTAAAAGATGTATTCCAGAAGAACGGCTACCCCATCAACTTCATCAAAAAATACCAACGGCACGCAGCATTAGAACTCAAGTCAAGCACAAAAATCAACAAAAGGATCACCCTACCATATATACAAGGAATATCAGAAACCGCGACGAGACTGCTGAAAACCTTCGGAATAGGTGTGGCACACAAACCGACAAAATCACTACAATCAATCTTATGCAAACCAAAAGATGAAATAACAAAGGAAAACAAATCAAACATCATCTACAAGATAAATTGTGCCAACTGCGAAAAACACTATATCGGACAAAGTGGACGCCCCCTTCACCTTCGCCTACATGAACATCAATTAGCAGTCAAACGGCATGATATCTCTTCACTTATCTCAATACACGTGGACAACTGCGGACACTCATTCGACTGGAAAAATGTGGAAATCTTAGACAGAGGAAACTCCAAAAACACCAGAGAATTTTTAGAAGCCTGGCACTCAGGTCAATCAGCAATTAACAAGCATATTGAAATCAATCCAATTTATCAACCAATCAGAAAAATCAGGCACAAACATACGAACAAAAATCAAAACAATGGGAGACACAACCAAAACAAAGAAGTAAACAACGACAAATTTAAGGTCAATAAGAACCAATCAACGTCGAGGTGCACAGAACAAGCTTTGAGACACATATGGAGAAATCCAAACACTTCACTTCTATCTGAAGTTTGTGCTGATGATGTCGTTCAGAAGAACGATGAAAGCTCCACGACCAAACCATCCAGCTCAGAGAACAAAACTCCACCGAAATCATCCACCTGAGCTACAAATCTTCTCCACCATCTCTACTGTTTACTTCTGGTGAACTCCTATGTGTAAAACTACATATGTTATTTGAAACAGACATATAAAATTACGATTATTAGAAGTATTCGAATTATCGTACAAACTAGGAATCCTCGAAATAGTGCAATTTGAGCTAAACGGAAATAGATGAGCATGAACGAACTTATTGCATTTGGAATTCGTAATCAATGGGTAATCCGGTATTTTTAAAAATCGCTTGTTCGAACAAATACCGCAAAAATCCACGTAACTGCATACTGATTCGTAATATAATACTTGAAGGAGCATTTGATTATCAGATGTGCAGTGGATCCTAATTTAAAAAATT